AGCTTTATTTATAGCTACTGATTGTAACCTGCAGCTTATTTTCCACATTTTTATAAAGTCCCTCTGTGCTGTGAAATAAGCTCTCTCTATATAGGATGAATACTCTGTAGTTTATGTGTTTTGGACCAATCTTTTTTTTTTTATGGAAACCACACAGTGAGCAGTCATAATAATGCAGACGTTTGGAGTGCAAATGTGATCTTAGAGAGCCCCCTGCAGGTCACAAGATGGCACAGTTGTTTTAAAGCACTGTGTGATGCCAGATGTCAGACTGCAGCAGACTCCTCAGTGCCAGATGTTCTGATGTCTGATTCTCCGCCTTTTGCAGTTGTTTGTTATCATCCTCAGGTGTAAGACCGTTTTCAATCACCATCCTCTCCAGAAGGTTACACTCAAAAGCCTTTGAGTTCTAAACACGTTATTGATCAGCTTGTTAGAAATGTAATTAAAATGTTTTTTTCTCCCATCCAGATCACCACCAGTCTTGAGCAACAGGTCACAGAGTCCAGTCTGTGTGAAAGGAACACCACAGCTGGCCTTAGCACTCAGGGTGAGGATGCTGCAAGCATATTTATTAACAAACACAAAGTCAGAAGTCTTCGCTTTCTTTGGTGTATATATGTGGGCTGTTTAGTGTGAAAGACTTTTTCTAATCTTACATTCTTTCCACATTAGCATAATGCATCTGTAATGTTTGATGGAATAATAGTTCTCAATTTGCTTTGCTTCACATGAGGGCAAAAAAGTAAATCACACAGATTTTGCTCATGTTCAAGTTGGTCACTGACCAACAGAAAGTTGCTTGGTTTGAAACGGACTTCTGTGTGAGCTGTGCTTTATACATATCTATTGAATAATGCAAATGGTATTGACTAATGTGACCACATCTTTGGACTGACTAGGAAAACTGACAATTTTGTAAATGTGCAAACTGCAACACAAGCAAACACAAGATTCACAAGCCTAAAAATGAATTCCTATTTAAATTCAATGAATATTCCACAATATTACTGTATTTTTGATCAAATAAATGCATCTTTGGTGAGCATAGGAAGCTTCTTTCAGAAGCATTAAAAATCTGACGGACCTTAAATTTTTGAACGGTACTGTGGTTGTATATAAATTATATACATTATATTATACATCTACAGACAAAACACTCATTTAACTCATTTAACTCATTTAACAGCCTTCAGTCATTGTCTGTACGATAATATGGTCTCTGTTCCCTTAGCCTCTGTTGATAGTGCTTCCCTTATGGTGTCTGAGATGGCAGACATCCCTGATCACAGCTGTTCCTCAGAAGACATGTGTTCTCTAGAAGTACAAGACTCTGATTCCTCTCCTTATGGCACTTTGCGCATTGTACCTACTGACGGTAGCTGCACAAGTCTGGATCACAGCTCCCACTCTTCCCTGAGATGGCAGACCCCTGCTCGACTGGACCACAGCGAGTCCTCTGTCACGCAGGATTCGAAGCTCCACTCTTCCCAGTTGTCTCCCGATGCTGTTAACGTGCCTGAGGAGGAGATTACATGCGTTAAACCCATGTCTTGCACACAGCACAGAGAACGAACCAATAAGAAGCTTACCCTTCTTTTCCCTCCAAGCACACCATCACAATGTGCTTCCAACTCAGCAGTGACCTCCACTGCCACCGCAGCTTCTGCTCTGACCCCCTCACCCACCGCTCAACTGCGGGGAACCCGGCTGTGCTTCAGCGTCTGGTCCCCATCATCTTCTTCCTCACAGCCCCATGCTACCTCTGCCCTCAGCAACTCCAGTCAACGTGAGCGGCCCCGCACACTCCGAACCACCAAAGGGTATCGGAAGCTGGCGAGGATTGTGCGTTCCACTAGTGAACCCATATCCTGTACTTCCATATCTAGAAGTACGTGAGTCCTTTTTCTCTCTGTGGATCTATAGGGTTTTTCACACTGAACTGTTAACCATTCATTCATTCTAAACCTTAGCTTAACAGAATCCTAGCTTAGCTTTTTCCATGTTTCACGCTGTACATTTGTAAAACCCAAGCTAATGCTCTTATTTGCAGGGTCAATATTATTGATTGGACAAACACAATACATGACCTGTTTAAATAGCGGTTTGTCTCACTCTTGCGCATCAGTTGGGCTTATATGGATTTATTAAATTGATCAAAAGTGAAAGACATTTATATTACAAAATATTTCTATTTGAAATAAATGCTGTACTTTTGAACTTTTCTGAACTATTCATCAAAGAATCCTAAAAAAGTAACAGTTTCCACAAGAATATTAAGCAGCACAACTGTTTTCAATATTAATAATAAGAAGAAATGTTTCTTGAGCACCAAATCATTATATTTTAAAATTATTTCTGAATGATCATGTGACCCTGAAGCCTGGAGTAATAGCTGCTCAAAAAAATCAGCTTTGCCATCACAGGAATAAAAGTAGGCTAGTTATTTTAAATTATAATGTTTCACAATATTACTGTAGTTTTTACTGTATTTTGGATAAAAAACTTTTTTTTGAATGTCAGTGTATTCCTGACTGTATTTTGTCCTATATATATTTTTTGGACCACAATGGTAATCATAATTTTTTACCTCAATTGATTTGTTCTGTCAGTGTTTGACATTTAGATTTTTCCTTCAAATGCTGAAACAAAATGCAATGCCTAAAAGTTCTGTGACTGAAGAAGTGCATAATGACACAAAAGTAGGACTGAAGCTTCTTCAGTGCATGCTTTCGTAACTCAGGGTTAAAATCAGTGCAAACTCAGTTTCAAAACTACAAATGGGAAATTTTTAGTTTATCTGGGGTTTAAAAAGACAATAAACCGGGTTAAGCTCATTATGAAAACCACATATGTGTAACTTGAGTTTATACAATCATTGCTTTGTTGTAGGTAGAGGAAAAATATATGATCTTTGCACATCATATCATACAGCATCATATTAAGTCATTAATAACCCATGAGCAATCTGGAAACCTGAGCATGTGATTTCACTTGCAGGTGACCCTTGTGCTCCTGCTTCTAAACATCCACCTGAGGACTCCTCACAGACTCCCTGTGATCAAGGTTGCACCTTATTTCTGTTTTCCCTGTAACACAGTATTCAAAAGATACAGTTATTCATTCTCAAGTAAAATTATGGTTCTTAGAATAAACATACTAATGCATTGCTTTGAACAGCATGTATGGAGCTCTCTGAGAGCGCCCGACACCCTTCTGCCAAACAAAGCAGCCGAGGGGGCAAGAAGCAGAAGGACGGTGGAAATGTGGACATCCAACTCAAACCTCACATCCCTCACTCAATGTCTACAGAACGGCCACAGTCTCTCGCAGACCTCAAAACTTACAAAGACACCAAAGTGCTGGTGGCCAAGTTCCTGGAACACTCGAGCTGCAGTCTACCTCCGGAGGTCCAGCAGGTGGTCAACAGCATTAAATGTGTTATTAAATCTGATGAGAAACACATGGAGGAGGCCATTTTCAGTGCAAGCATCATTGATCAGGTGAATTTGGCATATTTTTGTGTATAATATATAATGCTTACCATATGACCTGAAATGAATACATTTAGTTTTACTGTATGCTTTAATAGTTGAAAGTGAAATATCACAACTGAATTACGTTGGGGATGTTTGTTTTTCTCATATCCTTCACACAGTTGATGACACAGTCACAGAAGATCATGGGCAGCCAGAGGAAGCATGCTCATGAAGACCTGCATTTACAGAGCTGTGGAGCTTTGAGTTCCCCGTCTTCAACCTTGCGCCGTCCACCCAGAGGATCCAGTCAGACAGATGTCCCTGCTATGCTGGATCATCAGCCTCCACGCCAGCCTCAAAGCCACATTAGTGTATGCAGAGAAACTACACTTTGACCCTCCGGACTACAAACACTCTTTTCCTCATAATCCTCTGAATATGTGCCAAGGACAAGTCCTAACTCTCATCAGCAGAAAACTGTAGCTCTTGAAAAACAAAAAACAGTTATTATAGAGTTGATGCTCTCTCGTATGTAAAAAAAAATAATAATAAAAGAAAAGAAAAATAAAGAAAGCCAGAGTGTTTACCTGCAGGGGTATATATTTGTATTTTATTGTCAGAAAAAAAGTAAAATATTTGTTAAAGTGAATTTGCTACTGTGCTATATAGGAGAGTGGGTCTATAATAGACCATAGAAGATGACAACATGGATTTACCTCTTCATGAAACCTTTTTTTTATTTTTTTTTTATTTAATACACAGCTTCTGCAAACGTTATGTGAATTATTGGACATACTTGGTCATTGTGTGCCACTGCAGGACAGACCTTTATGAAGCTGGATTATTCAACTTACCTCAGTGTGTAATTATTTTCTGTATTGCAAAATAAAAATGCGTCTGTTCCTATTTTATTTTTATAGACTACTATTTTAAGACCCTCAAAGTCATTGTTTGTTTGATTGAGTTACGTAAGTGCAACTCTAACAGGGTCTCGACTCTTGAGTGTTTGTGTGTGCTTAGACTTTTTGTAATGGGCCCCAAATAAAGAGCAGGCTTATTTCAGGTATATCTTGCTGTGATTATGCACTGAAAATCCTTGTTTTTGGACTAGGCTCAGTCTTTGTATTTGCTCTGCTCAAAGTTTTGGTAAATCAGACAGGGAGGCTGATTATTTGTCACACTAGATGGCAACTACTTGTTTAAATCATTTGAAGATACATTTACTGTGGCTCTTACACTTTATAGCCTTAACTGATATTTTTAATCAACCTCAGGCATTAAATGAATGTATTATATATATATATATATATATATATATATATATAAATAAAAGACATCATGAGCAACATCCCGGAATAGGTAGGGCTCCCCCATTAATGCTACGTTTTGGCTAATGATGAGAATGTTTATTCTAGTGCCATATACCTTCTCTTATTATACGAGCGTCCAATGAAAATTGAACGACAGAAGCAGTTACGCCCACAGCCAATTAGATTCGTCTAAAGTGTACTATTGTGTTCACGGATTGGTTGTTATAGCTGTCAATCACGCTCCTCTGTACACCTTACACGCTGGACGACATTTTTCTGGTTTTTATCGAGACATCCTGGTTTTCTGGTTAGATATACGAGATAAGGACACGATTACGAAATCTGATATTTTGCTGACGCGTTTACTTATGTATATATACAAATACACGGTGTTTGCGCATGCATTCTGCAGGACCGAGAACAGAGGAGGAAGGCTGGAGTTGAGTTACAGAACAAGCGAACTCTAAAGCTAGCGGTGTATGTATAGTCTATTCTGCATGGAAATGCATTTAGAGACGCGCTAAACGCATCGTTTCATTTTCTTTATACGGTGTTGTTTTATATCAGGTGCATGTGCAGAATACTGTAAATCAGGCCTTGCTAGCGGTGTCAGATGTAACGCTAATTGTCTAATAGGCTATTAGTGCTTTTTTGCTAATGGTAATAGATTTGTTTACATGCCCAATTTCGGGTTGGCTTTGTGTGTTTGTCATTGTGTGTTTAAAAGAAATCGGTATCGCGTCGTTAAACTGAAGCTAACGCACGGCTGTTGCTCCACCAGATTCACGCATGCTAAGTTACTTTAGCGAGGTTATAGCTAACATACAGCCGAACGGTGCATTCAGAAGTGTATTTATCACACGAGCATGACGGCAGAGATGACCGTAACCGAATAAAAATGCGTTATCAAGTGCTGTAGGATCAGCTCTCATAGGCCACGTCGCCCGTGTGTGCCGTTGTGTTTGATCTGCTGACAGTGGCGTCGCATGAATGCAAACAAGGAAAAGCTTGAAGTCGCCAACTGTGCGGAAGGGATCCGGTGGAGTCGTCAAGTAGTTGTGTGACCAACTTCAGGACACTTCAAGGTTGCTGTAAGCCGAATGGGGAAGAGCACAAATCTTTCGAGATAGATAACTTAGTAGAGCAGTGGCCACATCAATCGTTTTTTTCTTCTTTAAGTTACGTGCGGCGCTCACACAAAGCGAGGGATCGTAATCTCTGTTCGATTGCGCGATGATCGGCTTCGGCGCGAATCGACGTGGAGGTCGCCTCCCGTCCTTCATTCTGATCGTGTTATTGGTGATAATCGTCATTCTGTCGTTTAACTACTGGAGTGTGTCCACTAAACACGGGCGGCTGCTGGACGAGGCGGCCGAGATGCAGACGCAGGTGAAGCGCACGGACGCGGCGCGCTCGCGCCTGGAGAAGAGAAACTCCGAGCTGATGATGCAGGTGGACACGCACCGGAAACAGATCGATCAGAAGGACGGAGACTACAGCGTGCTGGAGAGCAAACTACAGGCCAGAGATGCGCTGGTCAGAGTCTGCACCGATGAAAAGGTGGGTGAGAGAAAATAACCACGAGGGTTTCCTTTTATACACATATACAGTGGGTATAGAAAAGAATCGCCCCCTTCAAAATAATAATATTTTGTTGCTTTGCAGCCTGAAATTAAGACTGTAGTATCCAGCTGTATTTACACTGTAACGTTACAGAAAATACTAATTCTGTGGACAAGTGACCGATTTCGGCTTCAGCGTCTATTTTATAGTGCAGGGGATTCTAGAGAGCATTTGATTGGACAGAAAGTTTGATGAGAAGCTGAAGTACGATGTGACGTCAAAAAAATCGTTGAGCCGTTTTGGCGGAAGTGACGAACTGCAAGCTTTGAACGCTTATATCTTCTAAATGCGAATTTTAGCCTTGTCCAAATACACACACTTGTGGTCTTTGCACTTGACTTGACTACTTAAATGACGTATTTCCTGTATTTGGCCCAAGTGTTCAAGTGAGCATGAAGACCACAAGTGTGTGTCGAACTTTTCATTACCTGATGGGACACACTTGTAGTGTTGTAAAAATGCAAGTGTTTACATAGCTTTATTTTAATTTTAAATACTTTGCATTTTAAAATCAACTTCTAAATGTCTGTTCAGTAGTCCCTATAACAGATGACACAATTTAATTAAGTGATAAAAAGCA